ACATTACATACATACATACATTACATTACATACATACATACATACATACATTACATTACATTACATTACATTACATTACATTACATTACATTACATTACATTACATACATACATACATACATACATACATACATACACACACACACACACATACATGCATGCATGCATACATACAAACATACAAACATGCATACATGCATACATACATGCATACATACATACATACATACATGCATACATGCATACATGCATACATACGTACATACATACACGATTTTTTGTGCTGACATTTGTCCGTCTGAAGAGCTCCCTGACTGCAAACTGGGGTCGGCGGCACTGGGCGGCAGCCCTTAAATAATTTTTAAAAATATTATCTAAACCAAACCAATTTAAATAATAATATAAATACTATTTTAAAATATCATGTATCTTATTATATAATATTATCGTATTTTTACGAAATTTGTAATCAAATATTCTAATTTAAATCCATACCTTTATTACCAATTCAAGAATAATTGTTAATAATTTAAATCATTATTTAATATTAATTTAAACTTAATATAACCATTATTTACAGATTTCGAATTAATCATAAGTCATAGCTCGAATAAAATCAAATATGAATCGTGATTTGAATTGTTTCGTGAAAAGATAATTTCGAATTTGTCCTAAATATCCGGAGTTTACGCTCTAAATGGGGACATAATAGAGGTGTGGAGGTGCATGGGTGCAAGATCCAGGGGCTTGGGCATCTATGCCATCTTATGCTCTTGATTTTCAATATTTTCACTTGTATTGAGCATAAAGCGACATGATTACGTAGGCCAATGCGGCGATCAGCTCACTCAAGATAAATCAAGACACACGCCGATATACCTCACATTCCAGCTGTCCAAACCACCAATTGTATTCAACACATAGATTGGCTCGAAGACTAACAAGAGATACTAACACGACCGCGTGCTGCATTCGTCGTCCCACCCCCCCCCCCCCCCGGGACATCGTTTGGTTCGTCGGGCTTGGGGGGTTCCACCTAAAAGAAGGGGTTGGAGGCCCGAATCCCCCTGCCGGCTCTCTGCCGGGGTCTTCCGCAACTTTTTGCCGAAAACTTTTAAAAACTCCGTGCTTTTCGACCGCCTTTTCGCGAACACGTTGAACACTACCGTGTTTGTTCAGTATTTTTGGTGGGCGCAACCGTGGGACTTGGCCTCCTTCGGGCTGAAAAAACCGTGTTTTTTGGCATCCCTCTGGCGAAGTCGTTGAAATGACGGGACGTGGGAAGTGAAGAGGAAACGAACGGGAAATGAAGCTGCAATGAAGGGGAAATGAAAAAAGGAAATGAAGGGACTGAAGGGGGACTGACGGGGAAATTCGGGGGACATGCATGGAATTGAAGGGACATGAAGCGGAAATGACGGTGAAGTGTAAGGACAATGCAAGAACATGCAGGGGGCAGGCAGCGGACATGACAGGAAATCAAGGGGAAATGCGAAGGGGAACTGAAAGGGAAATGAAGGGGACAGGAGCAAGAAATGAAGGTGGAATGGAGGGGAAATGAAGGGAAATGAAAGACAGAAGGGGAAATGAAGGGGACATGAATGGGCAATGAAGCCGAAATTAGAGGGGCCGTGAAGAGGACATGATACATGAAGAGGAATGAAGGGACATGAAGTGGACATCAAGGGGAATCGCATGGATTTGAATGGGAACTCGAGCGACAATAAAGCCGCGGCTTAACGCAGGGGAGCTTAGAAGGACACGCAGGGTGCAATGTCGGCGGACTGAGCCGGAGGCTCCAACGTTTAGCACGAGTTTTGCGCCTCTTTCGGACAATCAGAGCCATTGCTACGACCCGTCTTCTTCGATCTACTAGCTACACCACTGTCAGTGAGAGGGTGGGGGCCCTTCCGGTCAACCTTGGTAAACAAAGGCAAATAAGTGATGCGAATCCAAGCCACCAGTCAACACCCGCAGCCCTTCAAAGAGCGCTTCTGCGGCTCACTCGGTTCGCGAACTCCTGTCGAAAGGAATCTCGAGCCCATTTCTAACAAGTACATGCAACGAATGGAAGAGATGCGGTAACTCCCAACGGCAAGTCAGCCAAGCCAGTTAAAGCACATGGGGAACCCGGCAGACAGGTCTGTCAGAAACCCTACCAGACCCCTGCACAACGATTGGGAGCTAAATAAGCGTCACTGAGGCGAACTAGTTTGCCATCTTTGCAAGTCCTGAGCTTTTATACGTACAGTGGTGCACGGCCCATTCCAAACTCAGGCTTTGAGCCCCATTTTGTTTGTTATGAGGCCTCAATTGTGGAAATGTATTCCAAAGCTTGCTCCGGGAACGAGGACATAGTAAAACACCCGCAGTGCTCTCAAAGGAGCTCGAAACATGACGCGGGCGGCGCATGTCTGAACAAGCGAAGTACTTCTCAAGCACCCTAGCTGAATCTTATCTGCAGAGTGGAAATGCCGAACCATCCACAAGCTTTACCACCGACCACGTTCCCATATTTTCCCAACAAGAACCTGATCGGACTTGTCATGTACTGTGATCCCAAGTTCTATGGCCCCGAAGCACAAGACATATTTCACCTCAAAAGTGGCTGGAGATGAATCCCCGGAATGATGCCCAAGGGTCCAACCTCCCGTCCTGGCGCAGCTCAGAGGGCAACGTCCGAGGGTCCAGACAAAGACGGACCTATGGCTGCGAAAAGAGGGGCGATTCATTCCTTTCAGTGGGCCTAGAATCAGCTCAGATTTCAGCTCAGATTCACTCGGATTTCTTGCCCTGTGCGTGGCATTCGTCACCTGTCAGGCCTGACTTCGATCAGCGGTTGCTATTTCTGGAACCCCACTGATCCACAGTGTCTCGCAATCCCGCATAAACATAAGTCGAACACCCGCAAAACACCAATGAGTTGAGAGCCGATTTCGTTCGCGCCTGGTCCGGCAAGGAATTGGCCATTGCCAGTGCTTCATCTTCAAAAGTGGCCAGGAGGAAGAGGATAGATCGCACCTGGAGCCCAGACCGTGGATTGTCTTGTTCTTCTGAACTGGAATAGTTACGCCATCTAACATCTGCATTGAGCTGTCGATGACCAAGAAAAAGGAAGATTTGATCATGGCGCATTTGGTTGTGTCTTAATTGAGGGCACTGTGTTTGGGTGGATTTGTGTGATTCCCCTGCAAGCGTGGCCGTGAATCCGGATCATCTAGTAGATGTGGGGTGAATGCCTTCCCCTGACAATTTCCTGCAACTGCAAACCCTGGCCAACGGATGTGTACAAGGCACGAGGGTTTGTCCAGGTCTCTAGTCACTCATTGACTCAATTAGCTGCCAACAGGCCCCTGACCACGAACAACAATATCAATGTAAACCCGGGTGTCGCGCTCCTTTAGCCGGGGGCGATACACAATCATCATAGCTGTGGTGGTCACGGCAGTATTGCTTCTCCCCTTCAATTCACTGGCCTGAACTGAGGCCAGGGGAACTCACTGGCCTCAATCCATGTTGCTGAATCCGTCCATTTTTCCATTCGTGGATCCAACATCGAAGATCAAGGAAGCAATCAGCACCCAGGATCAATCACTTCCTGGTAGATTCACAGGCGGTGTCGCTTTTGGGTGGTCACATTTGGAGGCTCGTGCCCCAGCAACTGGGCCAAAGCATCCAGCCTCCTCCTCCGCCTCGCCCTTGGCGCCCAGGGCTTTGGACAATGCCTGCAGCTTGTGGCAGGACGCCCCAAACTACTGCAACGCAGCCGCTAAGGTGCAAGCGCCCCATTTTTGTCGGGAGTGGCTTGAGGAAGTAGACATCATCTTAGAGGAAAACCTGAGTCATCACCCGACGCAACTACTGCGTAGGTTTTGCAAGGAGATTAGATGTGGCTGTGACAAATGGGTGCCTGTCAAAAGTAGGACATTTTTTGAATAGAGGATGTCCGAGCAGGGTTCCCATTTTGTTTGAATACCGCCATATGCAACTCTCATGCGCCAAGCATTGTTTCTAAGACAGTTTGGGCTGGCAACCGCTGTCATGCCTTGCTCTCCGCTTAGGCAGACTGTGTTGAGACACTGCCCGAAGGCCCATCTCCAGGATTGAAGTAGTCTTCCCAGGCTTCCCTAGGTTTGAATGCTAAAAACTGAGTCAACGAACGCTCTGAAGCAGTCCCAGGACGATTGCTACAATTGTTGCACGATTGGGGGGCTTCAAGGGCCATGTCAAATAGACATCTCGACTCATTTCAGCCGATACGAGCCTGACCAAACCGCAAGCAAATAATACAGCATCGCTTGGTCAAAAACAAGCTGACTGAACTATCCGAGACATAACGTTCCGGGGTAATATTGTTCGCCATTGCAAGCACTACACCACGCAAGGTGCCCCTATCAATGGACAAACTCTCAAACCAGCGCCAGAGATCCTGACACAGTTGGATTTCAGTTCCAGCCTGTGCCGTGAGCCCATAACGCTCGAAGTTGGCATCGGAAAAGGCGAAGACAAAGCGGTCATCTGCCGGGCCGGACTCTGCAACCTGGCACCATGAGCCACCGGCTGAACCTCTTGTAAAACTGCTTGCTTTGGCAAGGGGGCATTGGTCTAAACACACTGCTTTGTCAGTAGAACCCTTTCGGTCTTGAAGGTTTGTGGCAACTGCAGGCTGGCCTGGATACATCGCTATCTGCAGCAGCAGTTGTGAGCGGTGCTTGATGTACTTGAAGTAAAAGTGGAAACAGAAGAAGCACTAGAAGTAGTGGTGGTGGTGGTGGTGGTGGTGGTGGTGGTGGTAGTGGTGGTGGGGGTAGGGGTGGTGGTGGTAGGGGTGGTAGTGGTGGTAGTTTTGGTAGTTGTGGTAGTGTTGGTAGTGTTGGTCGTGGTGGTGGCGGTAGTAGTGGTAGCAGTAGTAGCAGTAGGCAGTAGTAGAAGAAGTAGTCGTAGTAGTAATAGTAGTAGTAGGAGTAGGAGTGGGAGTGAGAGTTGGGAGTAGGAGTAGGGGTAGGACTAGGAGTACGAGTAGTAGGAGTAGTAGTAGTAGTAGTAGTAGTAGTACTAGGAGGAGTAGGAGTAGTAGCAGCAGTAGTAGCAGTAGCAGTAGCAGTTAGCGATAGTAGTAGCGGTAGTAGTAGTAGTAGTAGTAGTAGTAGTAGTAGTAGTAGTAGTAGAAGTAGTAATAATAGTAGTAGTAGTAGTAGTAGTGGTAGTAGTAGTTGTAGTAGGAGTAGTAGTAGTAGTAGTAGTAGTAGTAGTAGTAGTAGTAGTAGTAGTAGTAGTAGTAGGAGTAGTAGTAGTAGTAGTAGTAGAAGTAGCAGTTAGCCGTAGTAGTAGCAGTAATAGCACTAGCAGTAGCAGTTAGCGATAGTAGTAGCAGTAGTAGCAGTAGCAGTAGTAGCAGTAGCAGTTAGCGATAGTGGTAGCTGTACTAGTTCGTAGTAGTTAGTCAGCTAGTTAGTTAGTAGTCAGTTCCCCGCATGGCGGTCTTACTTTTACTGTCTCGTCGTCCACGCCGCCGCCTCGCCGCCGCTCATTCCACTCACCCACCAACCCGCCCACCCACCTGCCACTCACTCGCTCGCTCACTCACTCACGCTTCATTGCGTGACAGGCGCAGTACTTTAGACTGGTTGGCTTGGAGTCTGTTTGCGTGGCAGGTGCAGCATTTTGGAGATGTTGGGGATTGATTGCGTGTCAGGCGCAGTACTTTAAACTGGTTGGTTCAGAGCGTGCAACATCTTTTGGATCCTTTACATGAGAACATTGATGCAAAGCGATACCCAAGAAAGGCACCTCCATACATAAGCTTGTTTTCCCACTAGTCAGCTTGGTGAAGACTTCCCTGAAAAATACAATGCACCCCAGAAGGATGGTCCTCCCAAACAGGGTTCCTCCACAGACGGGTTGTTCTGGGGCTGCATGTCGCTTTTAAGGCAGAAAATTTGGTTCTGTGGCCGGATGAAAAGTGGGCACAGCGATCGCTCAATGGTTGGCGACCTGGGGGTCGGACCTGTACGCCTTTAAAGGCAAGACAGAAACGACACCAACCCAGTCCCAGAAAGGAACCCTTCATAATTGATTTTTGGACAGCAGCCTCCCATCTGGCCAACTGTTCAGGAACAACGCAGCTCATTGAGACAATGCGCTAGCAGCACTTTTTTGGTTGAGTGTGCGAGTGTGTGCATGAAGGCATTTTTTCTGTGCAACCAATCAACTTCCGGCAATCCATACTCCCTTGTCGCGCCTGAAATGACAGCTTGACTGCAATCGCTATAAGGGCCCAACTCAACATGGTGTTGTGAACCAAAAAGAGGAGGTCAACACGAAGTATCCGCCAGGCCATGGTCGGAAGATCAAGTTTGACTAAAGCTCCTGTCGCTTGCGTCATAAAACAAGTGTAAGTGTATTGCATCCCACGTCTACACCAAAGGGCTCTATTGGATAGCTCTCTTAGATGTGTACATAACTGGGTTCAGCAAAAATGAGACACACATGTTCTGAAGGAAGTTCGGCCAATGCGGACACCCCCTCGGGATCTGGTTCTGAGGTCTTGCCTCTCGTTTTTGTTCAGGGTTCACCTCCCACCCGCCCTGGCCTTGCGCCGCGCTTGTTCAAGCGCCTCTAAGGTGTTGTCTCCGGAGCTGCAGTACCTGGCAAAGCGAGAGGTGAGTACTGTCAGTTGCCCAAAGGACCCAGAAATAAAAGGATAACCTTTTGGGGCCATGGCAAAAAACGGACCAAGAGGGGAAAACCAAAAGGTCAAAAGGTTGATTCGCTTTGGGCAAGTGAGTACTCTGTATCTCTGGCAAAGAACACCGCTGAAGCGGGAACTCTTACGTAATTATGGTCATATCACGGGGACCAAAAGTCACAAAGATGCTCAGATTCGTAGTCACTTTGGGTCACACGAACTTCTCCAATCACTCGGTATCTGTCAAAAGCAATATGCCCCCAGATGGTTGGTGTCATGCTGGCTTTCTTGCAAGCTCGCCTCAAATAGGATCTTGAATTTGAATAAATTTGACACTCTGCGAAGCACTGGGCAAGCTGTTCAAAGTCCGCTTTGCAGTGCAGTTCTCCTTTGAGTCAACCAGATCTCAACGCCTGCAGACACCAAGGCCTGATGCCCTAATCCACATCCCCGCAGCCTGGATTGAGCAGTTCGTGCTTTTTCTTTTTCCCCCACCAAGATCTGATCTCCGACCACTGCCCATGCTAGTATATCAACATGGCGAGTCCTATGCACAGCAGGTGGCAGGCAACAACTTGTAGGCAAAGGACTGTTGCAAGTCAGGATCTCCTGTAGTCTCAGGTTTTGGGACAAAGTGTGCGGATACCTCCCCCCCAAAAAAAACACAAAATGGCGCACTGGGAGCTGGCCGCTAACTTGGACACCTGAAGCCGTACATTGTGAACCATGCAGGCACGCGACAGAAAGCTCACCCTGGACAAACCGGGGATGTTATTGCTTCATAAGAAGCACATTGCTGCTCTTTAACAGGGGGACTATGATCACCAATTTCAATCGCGAGGTCATAAAGTCATCACTGAAGAGTCAGGACAAGATGGACCCACACTTGAACTAGAGACACAAACGTACACGAATGCGCAGCTGATCGACCTCAGCACAGGGACATAACCTGTGAGCGACTGATTATTGAGGGCTCGGGCTGCTCTCTTGCTCGGATTTCATTGACAGATGTAAGCGTGCCTCAAACGCAGGGATTCCGGCTGTTTGCATGTCAGCAGGAACAACAGACCTAAGCATCCAGGAATTCCAACCGACAGTGGAGCTTATGGGCTCTGCACTGGAGCCAAAGCGAAGGGTGACATCAAAACAGCGTGAGGCAATGCAAGACACGCACTTCACCTTAGACAAGACCATGCTCTCGAGTTACTTTGAGCATAAGCGTGTACCTGAGTAGTTCTGATTGGGAAGGCTGTCAGCCTCGGTACTTTTGGAGACGCCTTTGAAAGCGGCACACAATTGTAACAAGGCCCAAAGCGCGATTCTATACATTTGACAGCCCCAACTGCGCAGATGTCACAAAAAACATGCTTTTGGGACGATTCGCTTGCCTTCCTTCCTGAAATGGGTTTTTTAAGTCCTCATGGAGAACGAATGTCAATGAATCCCATAGTTCGGTCAAGGCACAAACCACTGATGGTTCTCTTGCACAGCCTTGGGGCGTTTCAAACCTATCTGGGGCCTCCAGGTTTCGCAGAGACATCAAGCGATTTCGTAGCCAACGGAACAATTCCGGTTTGGCCCTCCGGCCACTGCGAGGCGGCTCTTCTCGTCTGCTGGGGGGTGGCCGAAAGCTACCAGCTCCTGCGGGACCAATCAGGGCTTTGGACAAAAGTCAGCGGGTGCCTGGCCCCATCGGCATCCCAGGATTTTCAAGGCGCTTTGACCGTGGCGTACATTGGCATGACGTTTATTCTGACAATCAGGGCCTTGATTTCGGCGCGCCCCATCTATTCCCCATGATCTGAAGTTTTCTTGTTGGACAGCATTTACTTGGTTGCATTTCCGTCCACCAACCATTGTTCAGAGGTTCCAGCGGTTAAGCAATATCAAATGAAGTCAATTACAAAACGCTTCCGTCGCGCAACTAATTGAGCTGCAGTTTCTTTGGGAATTAAATTCATTGCGTGCAAAGCGTGCAAAAGCTAAGAATGAGCAAGAACAGATGGAGAAAACAATGGGAAACGCGAGAACCGGGCAATGGCAGCGGGCAGTAACACTGGCCCAGTCATGATTTCTGAATTCGGCTCGGAGGGCGTGCAAATCACCTCTGTCGCAACGCGTGCTCGGAGCGGCCTCAAACGACGGGCCCAGTGGCATGGCTGCGCGCACTGCTTCGCAGCTTATCCTCCGCGGACTTTCGTGGGTCCCAACTGTGTCAACATATTTGCATGACAGTGCTATTGGACAGACTCAGGCCCATTCCAAGCTCTGATAGCATGGAATTGACTCATGTTGAACACCCAGTGGATTCTGGCGCCTTGGTACGTTATCCGAGAGAGCCTGACAGCAGGATGCCCCGCCAGCAGGCTGTCAGATCGAGCTAGCTCTCGCCGCAGGCGTCGCATATTGTAGATAGCCATCGAACACCTCCCTACAAGTTTATGGCCACTGCCTTCTCAGCCCACTCAAGCAAACAGCTTCGCACATGTTCGATCAACGGGATTGCTCCGCTTCGAATGACGGCTTACGCAGCCTTTGTCGCCCCTCCCCGTGGTAACCGTACGTGTTCAGGCAAGGCAGAGCAAGCGTACCGCAAAAATGCTGGTAACACACATCTGCTTTGCACTCATGAACAACTGTCTCGAGCATGTTCGGCAAACTTGCTCCGGGGCGACTGCGCATGAGCCCCAGCATTGATTGGTCTTGACCGGACCACCGGAAAAACAGGCCCGAACCCCACACTTCCCCACCTCTTGGGCAAGCTTGCATGCGAAAGCAGCACAAAGCAGGCTTGCTGCGCAAATCCGATCAGAACACATATGATCTGCATGCATGAACACCTGTGCTTCTTGCAGTTGGCCCAAATCCCTCCCGCTAATGCAAGGAGCGGCCTAAGACTTCAATCAACAAATCAAAGCGCAATCGCAAGCAAAGCTTGAACATTGTGCGTTTCAGAATTGCAAGCCATGTTTTCATGGTTTTTGAGAGCCGTGGCTGAATTGCGGTTGAAACCAAGCACTTCCAAACACCCGTTTCCAGCTCCTGCAAGGGCGAGTCTCCATCGTGGGCGTAAATGGCATAATCGAAACGAGCCTCCAAGCCTGGCTTGGCATCCGATTCATCCGGCAACGCCGCCCGGTATATGTTTGAGATCAGATTGCGCTGCCGAAACATGTGATGACGCCCTAGTGCTTTCAACAGCCATATCCTCCAATTGCATGCCTCGTCCAATGCCATGGTGCTGGAAAAAACCTCGAACCTACAACCTACTTGCAAACCACTTTCTCCGATGGTTTATTTCTGTGAGCAACGGGAAGCAACTCTGCTCGGCCAAAAACACAACACACACACACATTCACATCGGAAACGCCTGCCAAGCGTGGAGTTTCATGTCGTGAAATCCAACCCATCAGCTTTCAACCGAACAGATCTACAAGGAGGTTTCAGGGCTCTGAAGCTTGCAGCCTAGGTCATATTCATTGGAAGAGCTGGACAGAACGTGAGTGGGTGAATTGGTCCAAAAATCCCATCTTCAATGCCTCCCGCCCAGCTTTCCCTTTCAGGACATGGACAGTAACGAATAGAAGACGAGCGCAAAGAACGAACATCACACCTTGTGACCTTTCAAGAATGCCGACTTCGGAGCAGGACAAGCTAAGTACAACAAGTGGGGAATCAACCCCTAGCACCGCCCACACATCTGCACCAATTCCTATACTTCCCCAATCTGAATTGAAGCATAGAGGGACCTTCACTGTGGGTGTTTTTTTTACCCCTCGCCATAGCGACGAAAGGCTCAAAAATCAGTAACGCAATTTGGGTGAATTATGAGAATTCACCAGCTTGAAATAGGCAACGACGCCCCGACATAGCGAAATCGGTCTGACACCAAATCCGCTTTTGAAGTTGTGGATGCACATTGCCCAAACAGGTAGGTGCTTTGGGTTCACCAGCCCTTCCCTCCCACACACCCGGCTTCCTACATGTCACCCTGTCTGTGGAATCACCAAAAGGAAGCTCATGTCAAAATGGCACAAGGGACACAACACAAACTTGTCCATGTCAGAGGCGCGCGTTAGCGTGTGTATATATATATATATTATATATTGCACATAAGGCCCACTTTCATCATGCCTAGCTTTCACCGACATCTAGTTGGACCCGTCCCTCCCCTCCATCCGCGCTCCGGTGTGGGTGCCTTGCAGCGCCTCCATGATCATTACGGCGGTCTCGCAGCTGCGCCGCAGGCGCCCGTCCGTGCCGTTGAAGCGGTACATCGACCTCGAGGCCAACGGGTCGAGGGGTCGAGGCCGGGGCATTCCCCTGCAGGATCGATGGGATATCTCCTCTGTTGAGACAGGTGTGATCCAAACGCCTGACGTGCCCTCTTGGTTTGTGAGATGTGGCACATCCAGTCAGGGACTCACTTTTTGATTTCCTGGACTCTATACTCTTTGGGAAGACCATGGTACACAAAAAGTTCAGACTTTGACCAGGCCAATCCACTCAAGTGCAAGGGATGGGCGAACTATATCGAGCTCATCTGGTGAACCGAGTCCTATTCATGGTGAAGATTCCTGCTTTCAGACTTTTTTTCTTTCCCAAATGCAAGTGCCAGGCACCCTATCCAAGAGGAAAACTATCTTCGAACAACCGCGCCTGAGAACTTGTATGTGTGTTTGGTAGGGTAGTCACTAAAAGGGGGTTGCTAGATGAGTGCTTTTCAAAAGGAACGCCACAAAACTGTTGCAGTCCTTTTGTTTCCCTTCAAAACTATGCAAGACATCCCCGGGAAGGCCCGATTCTGGCGTCTGCAGCCGTTTCTCTATTGTTTGTTTTTGATGGGACGTCATCTATTTTGAGACGCACCCATTGGATTCCCCATTCATGTGTTGTTGTGTTTAGACTAGTCACTACCCATCCACGACAGTCTGTCAAAAACTCCGCAGATCAAACCCGCCGAGGAGGGAAGGGTCCCAGTGCAATGAAGGGCCCCCTAATCGCGGGTCTTTCTTCTGCGCAAACGGCAGCTGGGTCCCCCACACGAAAAAAGACGAATTTGCAAGGACGTCCTCCCCACTTTTGCCCTGGTTTCCGGTGGCCCACCCACTGAAGAACTTTGACACGCGGATTGTTCGTTTCTGCCGCCCAATGTGCGCTGAGGCGTCGAAGAGGAATAAGGCGCGCTTCGGCCGCATCGGGGGCTCTCCGGGCTGCGGCTCTCGCTCCTTGCGGCGCCTCGGTGTCTTAGGAAACCTCTGACCGAGGCACCAGCTTCTTCATTTTTCAGTGACCTCGATCCATTTTTTGGGCTGCCACGACCCATTTCGAAAAAAACAAAAAAAGTCACTGAATCCTACATGGGCACCAAAGGCAGTTGCTGGTTTGTTAGCTAATCAACCGTGTGTCTACGGGAACACAGGGGCCCAACACGGCAGTTGGGTTTGTATCTCTCCAGGCCGGGGGAATTGGTCCAACCCTTGCGTTTCGTTCTTCTCATGGCCCAATTGTCATTTTGTGGATGTTTTTTGGTCAAATTCGCAACTTTCGGGAGGGCTGGGGTACATCTCGAGTCAAGAGCTGCGAAATGTCGCAGGCATTCAAAGCCACATGAATCCACCTGTTTTCAAACAGATCAAAAAGACACCTGTCCTCAGTGCTCCAAGAAAATCCAATCGGTGCAGGATCATCGTGTGTACCAACCATTCCACCATTTGAAGGAAACACCTTGAAATGCAAACTTCAATGATTCATTTAGGAAAAGGGACATATAAGGACCTGGCACCCAGCATACATTCTAGGGTTGGCCTCACTTGTAAAGTGTGACATGCATCCTAACTCCATTCCAGTGGTCGTAAAAGAGCTGACGCGCCAAGCACATTTCATCTGTCACCAATCATTTGAGAAGAGGGGGAAAGGCTCAGGCCCAGACTGAGAATTATACGAGGGTGCATGACGGCATGCGGTTGGGCTCTGTGTTTCTGCTCGACATCTGGTAGGGCCCTTAGCCTATCTCCAGGCTTTGCCATTGTTGGTCCCCCTTCGCATTTCCCGAAAGCCCACATTCCCGCCGCCAATGGAAGCGACACCTTTCCCAAATCCCTTGGAACAGGCACCCGCGGACCCTCATGGTTCATCTCTGCTCCCTCTCCCGGGGTCTAAAAGGCCTTGAACCACCTCTTCTCAGTTGCCCAGTGACCCGAAAGCTGGACAAAGATCTGGAACCCCTCTTTTGACCAGGCCTCCCGAGCCCGCCAAATAACACGGGAAACACACATTGCGTTTCTATACAAACCCGTCGTTTCTTTTGGGCCTTAAAAATGATAAATCCAATACACACATGACAAAGGGATTCCGACTGCGATCCCAACCTTTCTTTCGCGGGTCCCGAACCCACGGACTCGGCCTGAAGACTGCCGCCTCCCCGGCCAGCGCGTCCACCAGCCGCGTCTCGTCCAGCTCCCCCTCCAAGCCCCGGCGCCAGGTGCCTGAGAGGGCGTTGAATTCGGGGTTTGAGATGGCAGATGGGGTGGACGTAAACACCCAAAATGGCTGTGGGCAAAAAATAGGTGCCCAAAATGAACCCCCCAGGCAAATGGAACCAAGGACTAAAACCTGCGGTCCCCTGGTGGTTTAATTTTGATCCACACGCAAATGATAAAGAATGATAAATACTTGCACATGCTATCCTGACTTAAGCTGGCTTTGAAGTAGCCCACAAGCCCATCCTCGCTATCAAGGCCCTTAGAGTAGCTCTTTCCGACAGAGAAGCACACAGGGAGGCGAAACATAGGTGGCGAGTGCACTTGCATGTTAGGCTACCTGGTGCAGGTTGGGGCAAGGTGCCTCGATTCCGCCCCAAGAATCAAAGAGCCCCTTGAAAACGGACCTGAAAAGGGGCACCACTTACAACAACAGCCTAAAACGGGATCCCAAAAGGGGCCCAGAATCTTGACCAGCATGATGACCACTTCTTGCGTATCAAAAAGATCGCGGGGTGGGGGGAGGGGCAACGATTTGCCTTGCTTCTCGACCTGCTGACCTGAGTTGCTGAAATTGCCGACGCAACAAGCAAGGTCAAACTGTTGCACAAGCTGACCTGAAGGCCCCATCTTTGGAGTTGATCCGTGAGTTTCCCTCCAGCATCACAAACACACACACACACACAAGTGGAGGTGTCTTGGCATTGGGGGAGACATGTCTGGAAACAATTGTCCCAAAATGGGGTCCCTCCCATTTGGGTGCGTATGTAAGCGTCAACCAAGAGAAAGGCCAACCACCTCCTACATCTAGCGATCGGCCAACGATGCGGGGCATCCAAGGTGATTGGCAAATGACTGCAGGCGAGCACCACTGCAGCTTTGCTCATCACGTCATGCTAGTAACATCTTGAACTCAGGTAAGCTTCAAATCACTGCCAGCGACTTGACACAGAGGCGCGCATGCCAGCTTTTTGGAAGAGACACCACCAGAGACCGTGATTGTGCTTCATTGAGTGGACTCTTCTTCAACATACGATCTAAGAACAAGCATTTAGCATGCAGCACCAACCTCACTCCGCATAGCTTTAGATGTAACACATGGACTTTGACTTCACAAGTTGCGTCGGGCCATGCTGGGTGAACGGTGAGTTTGTTTTTAAGCACCCACTTGATGTTGACCTTGGGTAAATGCACCTTGCATATTGTAAAGGACAGGGCAGTCCTGCAAAAAGGAAGGATCCGCAAGAATGAACACCGCACCTAGCAACATTATTTAGCGCCCGCTACAGCAAGTAAACCCTCCATCCAACTTTTTGGTAGGGAACCCCCCCTCGATCCAGCTTTCTTGTGGGTTTTCCTTCAAATCAAGCAGAAAAGGGTAACCTCCAAAACCAACAGAAACACAGACACATACGCACACACACACACAAACAAAACAAACAAACACAAACACGACCACACAAACCCCCATCCACACCCGCACGCGCACTCACACGCTTATGCATGCAGGCACAGGCGCAAGCACAGAAACAGGCGTGGGCAGGCGCCCAGACGTCCGCATGCCTGCACGCCCCCGCGAGCACGCGCAAGCGCACCTACCCACCCACCACACACACACACTCACACACACACACAGACACATCCTTTTGCCAGAGTCCGTCCGGCGTATGCGCGAGCGCGCGCGAACGCGCGCACTCCTTGAACTTTGCCAAGATGCGCTCCCGCTGCCGCGCAGCGGCACCGGCGAGCACCGTGCGCAGCCGCTCGATCTGGCGAATCGCCCGAGTTTGGCCTTGAAGTTGGGTACCATGCCACCTTACTTGGGTGTTAGAAACACTGCTTGGTTTTTCTGTTGAAAGCAGAACACTGTTTTTGTTAATAATACCCCATGCACTTTCCAATGGAAGGGGGTAAAACAAAGACTTTCTTCATGCGGATTGAACAGGGGAACATAGGGATGGGAGAAGCCACCTCGATTTTCTTTGTATGCTACTAGATCTCTTCCGGATTCGGTTTCAGAAAACTGTATTTCTGCATTTCGTCATACCAGGAATGATGCCTCGTTTGTTGGTTGGTAAGCGGGTACGTGGTCATCCCCTCGAAAACAAATGATGCAGGTGGGAGCGCAGGATAAAACACATGGAACCATCGCGGACCGGCGCGAAACCTGGCGGTGCAGCAAACCTGGTTTTGCCTTGCGAATGGCAGGAAACCCGTGGAAAACGCACGGGAACCCCCTGGAAACCCGTGGGACACTTGGCGAGAAACCTGGCTTCGCAGTACAGCGCGCGGTGGAAACCCGGAAACCCGTGGAGAACGCACGGGGACCTGCGGAAACCCGCAGCTCGCCCCTGCAACCCGACACATTTTGGGAAGCGCTCCGAACGGAGTCTCTTTGCTAGCGCCCTCAGTGCATTTAGGCATGTTTCTTTGAGGGGAACTTTCAGAACTGCTAAGTGAAAGCACACATTTTGGGGGAGTCCTGGGTCGGAGACAAACCCATTTCAATTGTGACCGACCTCCCCACTCTCTGCGCCTCACCCTGCACAGCAGACAGCAGGCTGGCATAGAAGTTGTAGTCTCCGCCGCTTAGATGGATCTCCTCTCGTGATGAGGCAAAGCCTATCTAACAGTACCCCTAACAGCAGCCTCAAACGCAGCCATGTGGGGATAAATCAAACATAGACGTCGGTCGATTCCTGGGGACCTGTTTCGGCTTGTTGGGAGCCGCCAAGAGGTCTTAAAAGGGGGGGATGAACATGGCTCGCTAAGGATTCGTCCTTGTACTTGTCCCTGGTTTAAGGGTTGGAGACCATCTCTACAAGATTTACTGAGACAATGGAAACACAAGTTACTAGAGCTTACCAACCTGGCCGGCAAGCCATGTTTGACTGAGCTGGCTCGATCGCCACTTAAGAAACCTGCCAGCTGCGCCGTTGCCCTTCCTCCAGTTCAGCTCAACAGGGTTTCCGACAAATGTTGCCCAGAGTTGAGAACTTGCGCTGATTCTGAGATGAGAAGGAAAGACTTGCGACCATTGAAACATAGGGCATGACCCCTTGCAAGTCAGTTCAAGAAACAACAGCGCGAGTTGTGCAAGAGGCGTCAAAGAACTTGCATGTTCCTCCGAGGGCTGGCACATTGCTTCAAGGCAAATAAAACTACCTTGGCTTGGATTTCATTGTGGGTGTTTTGATTGCGGTGCCCTTCAAAGGGAACCTGGACCAATTGTGGAGAAACCCACCATTTGGAGACAAACCCTGTTAGCGCGACATGGGATTCCTTTCCTCTAAAACTGCGTTTTGTAACCACCCAAGAACCCAGTTGCCCAGTGCTACAAGCAAGGGCAAGTCCATTTTCAGTACGCCCCGAACCCACCAAAAAAGGGAGCAATCGAGGGTAAACTCTATTGAGCTGGGAAGACTAAGGCAACCAGGAACCAGTACCCCGCCAAATGGTATGTTTTACTGGTATCTCCTCGAGGCAAATGGCATTTGGGAGCACTCAGAGAAGCCGCTGTCTGTTTCTGTCATTTCTTCAAGGGGGCACCCTCCGAGGCTGTGTGTGTGTCTCTTCTCTTCTTTAGCCCCCCCCCCAAAAAAAAAACAATATATATATCCTGGTCGTCCTGGTGGCTTCCATTTGCATGGACCACAAGAATGGGTGTAGCAAACATCCAGTCTTCTTTGGGTGTAAGTAGTACTACCCTTGCAAACCGACGCACCTAGAAAGCCTGGGGGGGGGGGGCTGAAAAAAACTCCTCCAATCGCCGGCGCAGCGCCTCTTGGCCCAGCTGCCGCGCTGCACGCTGCGCCTCCTCCGAGACCTGGGCCTTGGCCTGCAGACTGGAGGAAGCTTCGGGCAAAAAGTTGGTTTCCTTTGGCTTCCCTTCCCCACCCACAACAAAAGGGGGCCGCCATGGATCGAGGGACCACTATGAAGCTTTCCCCAATTCAGGGACCAGCCTGGATGTCCGCCCTTTGCGCCCAAAAACGAACCCCAACCCAGAACCAAGATCTGAGCTATCTAGCAACTCCCTGCCACCCGATCAGAGCCAACAGGCAAGGCCCGAGGTCCAAGTGAGGCTGGTGATGAGACCAACCGACCGACCGACCAACCAGGGATCCAGACCCAAGAAAACAATGGCCCTAGGAAAAACACACACCTAATCCTACAGCGGAGGTCGCGGAAAGAAGGAGACATCCAATTGGAGCTTGAGTCCAGCTTCGAGATCCCCTGCCTCGTCGCTCACTTGGCGTACGCGCTGGCCAGGCTTCTCGAGACCTGGAGTTTGCATGTCCACTTGTAGCTTTGTGCAAACACATTCTGGCAACCTTGGGCATTGGTTCAAACAATCAGACCTTGGTGCTCAGACAAACCTTTCAAACAAACAAGAAAGGCTTGGAAATTGCCAAGGAATACATGTCATGCTGGCAGAGCTCATCAAGCTTGCGCAATGTTGCTTCGAATAACTAGGCCCCTGACTCCCTTCTTCGGGAAGGCAAACGAAAAGACGCTGAACAAGTGTTACGAGCGTCTGCTGAAGCATCAGATTCTGGCTTTGCTAGACTGGAAGCCTGAAGAAAGCTGCTAAACCAAAAATGTAAACCGCGGAACATGCCACTTACCAACAATTCAGTTGGACGCTCCCCCTTTCCTACGAGAACATAGGGGAACTTGGGAGACTACCGGCCTTCTTGCTCTCCTAAGTGGAACATAAACTCACATTGTCCGTTGCTATATCATGCTGAATCGAACCTTGCTATCTGCTCCCTCTTCCACGCTTCTAACCTGCCAATTTTGGGGATCTCCATCTATCTGGCGAACGATGGCTACGGTTGATGGTGGACAACAATAACGCATTGATGCAAATGCACTGGTTGCGCACCAGCGGTACATCGGCACACTCCGGCTACCAATACATCAGCGGTTATGTATGGCTGATCACTGGAACAAGGCTGATTTGCGTCACAGTTCCCAAAATGCTGAAAAACAACTTGAACTGAGTGGGTTTTCGAACCTTATATCGAGATGCTGCTGGTTTGTTTTCAGAACTAAGTCATTCATTCAGAACTACGTCACTCAGTGCGTGCTTCCCGGCTGTCCCGCTACACTGTTGGACAGAACGGGTTTGCAAGTTGGCCTCTACCGACGAGTCAGCTTTGACGGGTTGGCGCAGGATAGATCATTCTTTGCGAGGAGCTTGAGCTCAGTTAGCCTGTCCTTTGGATAACCTCAGCCACAACAAATCACGCATCTTCTGTCATTGGTCATGGTTTGCAAACTTGATAATTGTGAGTCTTTGCAACCCCAGAAAACTCCACAATTCAAAAAAAACACCTCTCGCTTGTGCCAGCGCTAACAATGATCTATGCGCTTGTGGCTTCCCCTAAGGGACATCAACAAACATCACACACACACACACACCGGCATGTGTCAAGACTTGGGGCCTCTTTTTTAAACACGCAAATACCATGCCACAGCAACTTAGAGGGGCCCAACTGCTTTGAGACACGCCCGTTAGCTCATGAGCACCGGACGGGGACACTAAGTCTGCTGTCTTCCCACAAGGCAAAGGGCCATCCCAATTCCTGGAAGGCTTATAGGATCCAAAGAAAATCAGGTATCCCTATGACAAGCACCTTCATGGGTTTTCAGTCGCAAATCAACGCCCTATGTTTCAGGCTTGCTTTAAGTGACCAGTCAATCTAATCACTACCTTCCTACTAACATGAACCCTGACGTCTAAAAGGAGCCTGGTTGGGTCCATGGTGAGAGGGCGGCCGTTTCTATGTTAATCGACAATTCCCTGAGATACCCAAATAAAATAAGATACGGCACACGAGACCGATTCGATCTCAACAGCCTCCTTGATCTGCAGAGGTGTACAGCTGAGTAACCACATATACACAGGCAGCTATGAATTCCAAAAGAGAACAACCTTTAAATAGTTGGTGGACATGAGCTTCACCTGAATCATGTCCACCTGAATCATTAACCCAGCAAAGGCAACGCAGGCGCACGCACGATGCGTCGCACGGGTGTCGGTTATTCAGTTACCTGTATTTTTGCGCGTAAATAGCGGGATGCCGAAATTTTGTCTTCTCCTTGGTTCCCTTCAAACAAGGTTCAAAGGCTCAAATACCACATCCTGGAAACGGAGGCTCACCATGGATGGCTTCCCACCCAAATTATTTTACCTTTTGAGTGGAAACTGAAGCTGAACTATGTCTGCATAACGTGTTTTTAAATGTCAGCTGAATTGTAAAGGAATTCGGTTGGAAAGAACATACTGTGTAAACTATCAATTAAAATAGACCTATTCTAATTCAAATTCTAATATGAAACAGAAGTTGTGATTGGATTCATTCCTCATCAAATTACGTTTAAACTCTAATTTAATTGCAATGTTCTATTGGGAAAGGATTTACATCTAAATCCTAAATGTGAGACGTAATTTGTAGTAGGATTCTGGTCAAGTATTTCCTTGCTGAGTCCTATTGAAATCCTATTCAGATTCAAACTGAATTTTAGAGACCGGCCGTTGGTGGAGATGTGAATTGAGTGTGAAAAAACGCTACAAAACACTGTTTACGGTGTTTTCTGATCATGGTAGTTCTGGGGCTAGTAAACACAAAGTCAATTCTCTCCTTCTGAAATCTACTTAATATCCTTACCAAATTCTACCCAATGTCTAACTGAAATTAACTAGAAATTACTAAGGAAAGACTCCAATCAAATTGTATATTTTAAATTAGACTTTCAATTATGATTAATCTATTTCAACATACATGTTACAGGGGAGTTCCTTTCTCAATAGAACTGTCGTTGCAAATCAGTACGCATCTAAACAACATGTACTAAACATGTTCGGAGCCTCTAAGTTCTTTCGTTACGAGTTCTAACAATAAATCTATCAAGTTCTACTTAATTCCTATCTCCCATTACGCAGAAGTCAACAAGGAAATAGTCCACACGTAATGTTTGGTTTAAAGTAGCACTTAAACAATGTTTTGTCCATTTCAAAAAAAGGCGCACAGGATTTCCTGTCCAATAGAAATTTCTTTGCAGATCAGTAGGCAATTGAACAGCTTAACAATTTTGGGACCAACTTGTTTCTTATGAACTCTAAATAAAATATGTATCAAGTTCTACTTGTATAATTGTAATAAAAGTTAAGAAGAATGTAATAAGGAACGAGTCCAACCAGAGGAAACAATCTCTAGCTTACTGTACTAGGGCTTGGATGTGAACTAGACCAGCGCACTTGATCACAGAAGCTCTTGCAAACTGGCCGGCAACGGTAAAGTACAAAAAACAACGAGACAACCAAGCGAAAACGTACTATGTCCCCTCAAGTCAGGACAGCTGACAGAGTCTTATTTTGTTGGTTTGGGAGAAGTGTGAAACACCTAGAGAAACCCCCCCTCCCCCCGCCAGGACATGTGACACAGTCTTGTTTTTTTGGTTTTCTCGATTTTTGTGTTTTTGGTCCACGTGTGAAAAACCTCGAGAAAACGGAAAAAAGAGAAAACAACTACCCCCCCAAGCCAGGACATGTGACATAGTCTTGTTCTTTTTTGGCTTTTTTTGTGATGTCGAGGCTGTTTGTGTTTTTGGGAAAAGTGTCCAGCATATCATGGTTTTCTAAAGAAAAACCGTAGAAAAGGGCACCCTCAGGGTCCTGTTCTGAAATTGAAAAAGGCGCTTCAAACCATGGTGAAATATGTATATATCTGTGTACATATACATATACATACACACACACACATATATCTATATATATATGTATATGTATACATGTGCGTATGCAAAGCCCCCTCCAAAACCTGGATTTCCCGCAGCAACAAGCCTATCGCAACCTTTTGTTTGCAGCTTTAGCGTCCTACTGCCCAATGTGGGAAATTTTTTAAGCAAAGCTAAGCAAGCATCTGCCAACCCTACAGCCTTTGCATTTTGAACCTTTCAACATTTTATGTCTGCAATCTTTAGACCACTAAAGTTTAGAAAGCAAAGGAGAATCCGTCTGCTAAATCTGCAGTCTTTGCATTGATTCAGTTTCGCAAGAAGTGGACACACGTTGGTGACAAACATTTTCTCCACCATGTTTGCGAACAATACTGTCCTATAGTTGCACTAAGACTGTTACTACAGTTGCTACAGTATATGATTTCCATTGTTACCTTGATACTCCTACAGCACGTCATAACGTGGAAGAGCTTGCTTGCATTTAGAAGAGAGATGCTGAAGTATGCTGGACATTAGCCCAACTGATCCTGTTTATTCAGGGGAAGAAAGCCCGGGTTTTCACCGCCGTGCTACCGACATGAGCCTGATCAACCTTCACACCACAAACCACGTCTGCGCAAAAAGGGTGGATCGATAGCATTGTGTCACGCGTGGCGCACTTACCAAATTGAGATCTTACGCTGGCGTTCATTTCGATTTATCCAGAGTAAGAGTGGCGTTCGTTTACCAACGTGAGAGGAAGGAACCTCCTCTTAAAGGCTCTCCTAAATGGATTACAGGTGGAAAGATGAATCCGAGGCTGCGCTGAAGAAGACATCTCCTTGGCCTGTGGCCGGCACGGTGTGACCGTCACCTCCACCCAGAGTGTGAAGCAGACCGCTGCATCCTGCCCACAGTCGTCCAGATCCAGAATAACCAAGGAAGAGTCCGGCCTTCCTATCGGTAAAACTGGTCAAGGCGTAACGTACAAAGAAGTTGCGATCGCCAAGTATGATGTACCATTGGGTACAATGATCGTATACCGCAACTCTACTGGAACTACTAAGCAAAAGAGCGAGTGGCTCTATCAGGTTTCCAGGGCATGCGTTAAAGGACAGTCCCTGGAAGAAGTTTCTCATCGTGCAGACAATCACGCGCCTGTCCGAAAAAGGATCAAGAATGAGAAGCTCAAGAATCCACCTCGCAAGGCGTGGCTGAGGGCAACCGCATCCTCCTCCAAGGACATCTAGTTTGAGAAAGACCGACAAGGAAGAACCAAACAAGGCATTCATGGTCATCCTGCGAAAGCCTGGTCATGGTGGAACACCACAGAAGACACTGCTCAGACAACTCCTGGTATAAAGGAGATTGGAAGAAACAGATGATTTACGAGAAGACCGATGCAAAAAAGTTTCTGAGCAAGAGAACATGGCGAAGACAATGCTTAGTGAAAGTGACCTCAAGATCGCTGGAGTTTTGTACCTCCTGTAAGCCTGACAAACCTTCAAGCAGCCAGTGTTCGCGCTCTTGTTCACGAACATCCGCCTGATGAACTCTTTTATAAGCAAAGCAATACTAACCAACCCGCATGGGAAGACTACTGTGCAAACCACCGTGAGTGCGGATTTTCGATCCGTCTTCCAGAAGGGCTTCTCAAACCTACATCCTATGACAGCGTGTTCTTCAGTCCACAAAGGCCATCAGATCCGATCAGCTGACGAACTGTCAGTCAACCGAACTCTGCAAGCGCGCGGAGGTCCACTCTTAAAGCAACTCAAGCGACCCATCGAAGCAAGCAAGGAAAGCGAGGAAAGCGAGGGATGCAAGGCAAGTGTGGCACGCAAGCAGCCAGTTGGCGGCAAACAAGCCGCGGACACAACAATTCTGCCAAAACAAAAGTGGCAAGAAAGCCAAAGAGCTCTTCCACACAGAGACCCAACGTCATAACGTTGAATCGGGGTGAGTTTTAGAGTACTGGCCTGCTAGGTGTCCTTGCTGAAACCGGTCGCAAGAGGAAGGCTCAACCTGAAATGCCCTAAAACTTCGCAGGTAAGCAGCCACCCAATGCCAAGGTGGCCGAGGTGCCTGGTTCTGCTGCCGCACGTTGACACAGGCAAGTCTGCACTTCTGCCCATCGCTCGCAAGTGGCCCATGATGTGTGGCAGCATGAGGCGCCAGCCGCGCTTGAAGACGCTCTGCTGCAAGCAATCTGCTACCATGTCTTCCTTAGTTCGAGAGCCGGATTTCTGGGATCTTGGCAGATTCAAGGGAGCGCATGTGATTTGTGTCCAAGAACATTGATATACGGAAGTATCTTCATCTTTGTGGATTATGGCTGGAGCATACTTCAGAGTTTAGCATGGCCTTCTGTCCGTCTGTGCACCGACCCCGATCTGGCGCTCCTACGTCCATAAAGCCTTCTCGACAAGAACCAATGTTAGTTTCACCATTCAGTCATTGAGTTGCCGACGTGTTGTAAATTTCAGCAGCGTGCCAAAAAGAAGATTGAATTTCTGAAAGATATTCATTTGCAATGGGCCTTCCATGTCTGACGCTAGCTTTTCGCTCCGGACACATCTCCGGAATCACTCGCCATGAGCGTGCTGGAGAATGAATGTCAGTTTTGTATTTTCATTCGCTGTGGCAACATCTTCTGCGGTGACTTTTGTCACCAAGTTGCACGTAAAACAACTGCGTAGCTGTTTGCAACTCTTAGGGGTATACCGCAGGCTTAATTGGGCACGGGACTTTGCCAATGTGCTAACACTGCGCTCAGGCTTTTGAGCCGAGTGATTGAATCACTCTTCGGCAATTTGCAACACCATGAGTGGAAAGTCTGTCTTATTTCTTGTTTTGTGAGTACATTTGACTCAGCACATTCAATCATGAGCGAAAATGCCAATATATTGGCTCAAGTCAGGTTAGAGGGTATATCGTAAAGCGCGGCAGACCCAAACAACATCTCTGCTTGCTGTGTTTGTGGCAATTCAGAGGCTTTACATTCCAAGCTGGCTTGTGTGAATTGTGAGCTTATGAAAATGCTGCGGATCCTCGCATATTTACAAAGCTTATTAACAATTCAACCAAGGTTATTCATACATTTGCTATACATAGTCAGCACACTATGCCAGCACTGTGATGTTTGATAAACTGCCGAGCTGCATGGGTGCAAAGTCATTGGTTTGCATGTATTCCTGGCATGTACTAGCATATCTTAGATGCAAGCATGGCATACCTTTCTTTAGTCAAATTTTCTTGGGTATCTTTTGACAGGTGAAACCTTAGCTAAAATCAAATCATGTTCTCAGGCATCTGGTTTCATTGAATGACTTCTGAGTTGAACTTGCACCACTGGTTTTACATACATGACATCAACTCCGTGATGCTCGAGCAGGGACTGATTTTGTTTGATGGAAGCACCTGTGAGTTCCAATTTTGTGAAACATGTAGTGTTTTTGTTGGGCCAACCATACATATACATATATACATATTATAGATGTGTAAATATAAAAATAAATATATTCATATGTATATATATATATATATGCATATATATATATATTGTCTCGTCCTCCGCCACTTCCCCCCCCCCCCCGCCTCCCATTGGTATCGCCCCCCTTCCCCGCCCCCGAGAGCCCCGACCCCCCCCAAGCCCCCGCCCCCAAGAGCCCCCCCCCCCCAAGCCCCCGCACCCTTTGCGTGGGTCGACCGCTGTGTCGCTTCGGGCTCGCTCCGCGCTTTTTGGATATTGATATGTCCATTCCCTGCCACCCGCTTATTCTGCTTTTGTCAGCTTTCAAGTAGTGTCCGCACCACGGCAGTTCCTTCTAAACTTCCTTTCACAAAGCACGCCAACCAAGACCAAACCAAGCGCAAGCAAGCCCTAACACCACTGCACAGGGCGGGCAGGCCGTTCCCCAAAGCACATGCCAAATCAATCTTTTCGATTTCCCAAGCCAACCCTAAGCTGACCGTAAACTAACCTAAACAATCCCTAAACCAACCCTCAAACCACCTGTAACCCAACCCTAAACTAACTCCAACCAGACCCACCATGCTACAGGGGGGAGGGGGGGTTGGGGGGGCGAGGGGGGGGGGGGTTGGTGGGCTGGACCATATATATATATATATATGATATGTATATATATATATATTATTATATATATGTACACACATATATATATATATATGTTTTTCTTTCTAAACTTATTTTTTTGTATTCAGAGGGTACCCTCCACACCCACGAGTCCCAAGTCCCCAAGTCCCAGTGGCGGTACGGTCCGCCGCGGCCCCCCAGGCCAGCGGTGTCGGCGCCACCGGTTCCGCCGGCCCAGCGGTTGCCTCACATGGCCATGGCTTAAAACCAATGGGATACCATTTTGGGATAGGTGAATTCACCACGTCTAGGCTTCCTATTTTAGTGGTTGGATTGGGATGTGCATTGGGGGCCAACCGGGGTTTTGACCCATGGCCACATGGTGTTGTATGAGTCGCTTGCTGAGTGCCAGCAAGTTTTGGGGTGGACAGGGGACCCCGCTAAGCTGTCCTCAGATCTGCCAAAAGTTTAACTTTTAGTGGGTTAAATGAAACCACCCACTTAAAAAGCTAAGGGGATGGCTGGGAACCACCAAGCCCACACAGCGGTTTTCAAGGAGGTGCTGTGTGATGTTTCCCGAGGAACCGAATAAGGGGCAAAGGACTTTTCCTTTTGAATCCATTGTCTTTTGGCTTCCTTTAAGGGAAATCAATCATATGTCGATGGATATGTCGATGTCAAGACCGAATTCCCTTGTGGATGTCGATGTGCAGTTCCACAATTCTTTAATGAAGCCAAAGAAACACCAGATCACATCAAATTGAGGCGCAGGGTCCAAAAGAGAGGCTCCAAGCAGTGCAATCGGCATCCAAGATATATTATGCACCTTTGGTCGATTGAATGGTTCGCGTCCGTTGATCCTGCATGTTGATACAAACCCAAGGGATTCCCTTGGCTTCAATTTAAAGCCATTTGATAAGGGGATTCGGTCTTGGCCTCGACAAATCCATCGACATACCGGGACACTGGGAGGGCCTGTGCCAGCACCATAGCTAGTCACAGAATCCTTTTTTCGTTTGTCGCAGGACGCAGAAATCTGCAAGTACTGCATCATGCGCACAAAGTATATGTTGCTTGTGCCCCAAGACATGGGAAAATTGGACGGGAACAAACAATAGGGAACCTCCCCATGTTAGTAGCTTAGTTTTGGTTTCCTTGTCAAGGAGCTTTAAGGGTTACCCAAAAAAGTGTCAGTTACTTCAGTTCGGATCGGTGTGACGCTCTGTCTCGGAATGGGCTGGCCGCTTGCGTAGGTACCTCGCTCTCGCTGTGGCATTCTTTGCAAACAATTCAGCAAACGCCAAACAACGACAGTCTAGAGTATATTGTACAATCATACATAGTACGCCATGTTAGTATTGCACTATTGCAAGTCCACATCGCACTGTCGTTCAATAAGTACCACTCGTGCTCCCAAGGAAAGATGCACTTCGAAGTCGAATGCCACTCTGCTCCCCCAAATCAGGCAATTCCAAAGGTCACAAGGGATCCAACTCCTAATGATTAGTTCCGTTGCTTTCCTTTCCAACCGTCCCTGAAACTATCTCCATACACAACCACTTTTGATGCGGGAGAAGGTCAAAGAAATGGCCTCCTGCCTCCAATATGCTCCTTCTCATCTTCGTCGCCGTGCTTGGGGCTCGATACGTCCTGCCCAGCCCGACCGGCAGGCAATGCAGCAAGCCCCTAGCCCAATCGCCTTAAGGTGGAGCTATGTCGGACCGGATGGGCCCCCCCCCCACTCGAAGGAAACTGCCACGCTTTTTCACTGCCCGTGTCCTGAACTTCGAACCCCTGCATGAAGTCAAACTTCTAAGCTCGTCCATGAACAAGTGCTGGAACGCCAAAAACATATGGTGCCACAACAAAACTAAGACTTGTGCCACCTCTCCACCTTCAAGGCAAAAAAACACAGCCACTCACAACATCCTCAGCAAGTACAAGTTTGTAGAAGTCGACATTGGTCCTTTGGCGGGCTGCCATCTGGCGAAAGCTCTTCTCGTCCACCGTGCGATAGCGCCCTTGGGTTTTGGATTGGGACCACTGCGGCATGGGTTTGATGCTTCTGAGGTATTCATTAAACAACAGCATGTTATGAGTTGCTTTGACTTTATTTTTGATCCCTTTCGAACCAACAATTGTTCTGAGTACCGTGGCCAAACACAGCTGTGCAACTATGGAGTCTTGACCAAAATTGGGTAACTTGCACTGACCCACCAAACTGTCATGAGCAGGTCCTGGTGCGGCTAGTTTCCAAGATGCGAAGAATTAAATACATTTGTTCGCTTTCTCTTCTTGTTTAGGATGTCAAACAACCAAATTCGTTTCCCGGAAGGTTTTTGGGTGGTTTGCTAGAAGGAAGGATCTGGAGCTCGTATGATTTTGTCCGCTGCTGTTGCTTTGTCCCATTCTCTCGTCGTTCTTCTCGTCTTTTTTGGGCCGCCCTTTGTGGTATATTTGAGTGTTGGGGCGATAACAGACAACGCCCACTTGGCACGTGGAAGGACGTTTCCCTGGGGAAAGATCAACATCTTCGGGGCTCGAAGCCCCAAAACCCAAAGCTTCTCGAAGCCCACGGTGCTGCTTCCGCCGCTTCAACGCCCGGCCCAGCAGCCGCCGCTGCACCTCCTGCGGGCCGCGGAAGCGTCCGCCACCGCCGCCTTCTCTCTTGGTGGCAGGGGAAAGGCCGGAGACGTGGCTGGAGTTGGCACCTCTTTTGGGTCTGTTCGGAGCTTTCGGAGTTGGTGTCGCGTTTCCGAAGGAGAAAGGCACTTTTCGGAGTTGGCACCTTTGCTCTTTTTTAAATGGAAATCAGAAGGACGCCGGGTCCCATTCATCTCTTCGGGCAAAGGAAAGGGGAATATCATTTGAGGGAGAGTCACGTGTGGGTGTGCTCTTTTAGAATCAATTTTTCTTTGCGTTTGTTCTATATTGGTAAGCAACACACACACACACACACAGCTGCGACCGGCACGCGCCCACTGGAGATGGTTTCCTGAAAACACATTTCAACATGTTCCGCAAGACCGGCCCAAACTCAACAACATTTGCCGCTTCAGCCAAAGATATCAGTGTTTGCTCCCATCTAAAGACGCATTCGAGGATTGAGGACCATGACTGGCACCGCGTAGCCGTCCAGGTTCAACCATAGCTAGTTGTCACGATCAGCGCAACAAAATCATGTGCCGCCTCTAAAACAAGGGTCCAGAAAGGAAAGCATAAATTGGGAATGTGTCAAAATATAGGGACCACCAGTGGTCTTCCTTTTCGCATCCATTTCAACCAAACGGAACATGGTGGCCCAAAAAACACAACCCATTTGCCAATTGGTCAGTTGTGACGCTCATCATTTCAAGCTGAATTAAACTGTCGTCGCTGCAAGTGGGCTGTAAGCAAACATTAAGTCAGTGAACAAAACACCGAGCCAGAATCCCTCTTTCCGGCTTATAGACATGGGCCGCACTCATGGTCTTTGGCTTGATCCCTCAAGGCCAACAGTCCACATGTCAGTCCTATTGCCATTCGTAAGCAAACATATGCGGCTGTGATCAGCTCTGCTTTTATGAGGTTCTTCCCTCGGCTTCCGCTCTGACCCAACTTCATTTGTTTGCATGACGGTGTGGCGCCAACATTACATGCTTTTACATCTGCGAATTCAACACACGCGACAACATATGCACCAATCCTTTTGCTTGTGGTGAACGGCATCAAATTCTGCAGCGCTTCCAAGGATCAGCTTTGAGTTGCTCTGTTTGCTTGGCTCCTTGGCGTTCGTGCGCGAATGTCTGTGAAATCCGAGATGCGTCGTGCAAGACATGGAGCACTGTCCACGGCCAGCCTCCACCACGAACGCCGCCACCACGTCCGCCACGTCCGCCTCGTCCGGCACGTCCGGCGTGGCCGCGGCCCGCCCGGCCCGCGCGGCCCGCCCGGCCCGCGCGGCCAGGCTGCAATCTACCGGGCCTCGCGACAGCTGACGTTGGGCTGACAGAACTCTGGCGCAAAGGACAGATTTCATTCTCGAGGAAAAACTGGCGGGTTTGGCCGCCATTTCGAGCCCCACAGGTCCTGCTCATCTAATGGCAGCCCACAAATCCGATTGTCAGTTGCACATGGAGACATGATCGCTTAGTCACTTAGTCATCCAGCTGCAGGGGAGCGCTTTCCCACAGCTACTTTTCACGGTCAACATAAAACAACAGCAAATGGTGCTGTCTTCAGTGACACCGGAATCAGGCTTCTCCACAATTTCGCTTGGAAATCCTTGGAACATCTTCATGCACTTGAAGCTGGGTAACCGACCCAGACGATTGACATCGCGGGAGATTTGGGAGCCAGAAAATGGTATCTCCCCTCATCGCGGCGCGGGACTTTTGAGCCGCTGCGTTTTTCCTAGAGGAAGCGAGACGTAGTTGCAGAGTAAAGGACCCCCAGCAACAAACCTTCACGCGAGAGCGCGAGATTTGGAATGTTTCATGCAACAACTGAGAAAGCAAATCATTTGTTGTGGACCCATATCTTTGGAAACACCCAGTTCACTTCCGCGCGAGTTTTCCTCTGTTCTAACCAGGCAAGTTGCAAACTTCCACAAGGACCCGGATGCCCCCAAATTGTTTGTCCGTAGAAATCAGGCTAAGCCAGGGAGAGAGCGCCAATTGGGCGCTGACAAGATGGGCAAACTCTCGGCAAAGCAATCGCAACATCACCGGCGAAGCAACGAGGAAAGGAACGCATCACGGCCCCACCAAGCAGGACATCCAAGCCCTGCCTCTCGTCCCTCTCGTCGCTCTCCACTTCCGGCCCTAGCCGGGCTTGAGTCTCTGGGAACTTGGATCATTGGATTGGATCCGTCTCTGAATCCGGGTCCAATGCCTTCTGGGAGGCCCGGCTTTCTGAAGTAAGGTCATCTGCTTGGACGCATGAGCGTTTTTGTCACGACCATGCTTGGTTCCAACTTTGTTCCCTTACACGAAGGGCCCCCTTTTGTAAGACAACCCCATATTATGGCCACGAACCATTCCTAGTGTAGGACGTGGACAAAAGGGTTTGGATAACTACCATGTTGTTTGTAAACAAATGGAAAAGAACCCGGAAACAACAGAAACAACCATACTCCTGTTCACTTTCATGAAAAACGGATAACTCCCAGTCAATTTCAAACTTATTTATACACTATTTCTGTGTCCTCATCCCAATACGTCAATACATCATGCGAGTCTCGGCTTACAGCTTGACAATGCGTGCCTTTCGCTACTGCCCTGACACCAATGCACTCCACATGTCACGAATGTCGGGTTCCATTTTAGTCTGGGGTCTCCACCACAACTCATAGCGTACATCCCTCCCTCTCTCCCTCCCTCTCGGAGTGGCCTTCGGGGTCTCTCGCCTCATCGGCAGTTTCCTGGTGAGTGACATGAGCCATTGCAAAACTCAGTTGCCCAATGGGCTTTCGCTATGGCAGGAAGATTCTCTTAGATCTTGAATTCTGGCTAGGGACCAGAAGAAGGGGGACAGGGTACGAGGAGAGTAAAGCCACTGTCACTCCTCAGCGGGCGAAACCATGCTCCCTTTGCTCAAGGGGAATACTTTGCTGATTCATATCAACCAGAAACACAGCTGCTTTCAACACATCCAAGTGTGCTAAAAGCAGGGACCACCCCAGATGCCAATGAGCAACTAGCCATTCACAGAGTCCTGAGGTCGAGGATATGGGAGGGTGAGGTTGAGCGACGCCTCATGGAACCATCAGGAACAATGCCGAGTGGATCGCTTTGATTTCCCCACATCCTTCTCTCAAAGTTCTCCGCAGTCAAATGAACTCAAACATTCGACAGAGCAGATTTAAGGACCAACCACAAGTGGCTGATCCCGAAGCAAGACTATGCAATACTCCTGGGCTACCATCTTTTCCATGGTATGGTCTGCAAATGGCTTTCGAGAGCCACCAACTGTAGGCGGAGTCCTCGACAGGTGTCTTCCCTTAAAGTGAGCGAGATGCTCAAACTGTCCGCAGCAATATACAAACGCTGGCTCAACACGAAGTTCTTGATTTGCTCCCTGAGCAAACTGTCTATATTTACTACCGAAATACAACTAGAATATGGGACACACACCAAGTCGTTGGCGACGTACAAAGATACATAACCCTGGCCCACGTCTGGAAACGACACACGATTGCATGCGATGAGAAAAGAGACACCTTTCTGCTTTCCTTGCCTCCCATCAGAAGCTACGAACAAGCGGGCCAACTCGCATTTCAACCCTTTGAGGCAAAGCCGCTTCAACCCACATTTTTCAGCCCGATGTTTAAAGCAAGCCCCCTTGCCGAGTGCTTGTACTGGGAGCCCTGGATTGATCAAACGATGCTTCACACACCGGGGTCTTCTTGTTGCTGGGTTTTTACGATTCCCCCCCCCCTCTCTCTCTCTCTCTCTCTCTCTCTCTCTCTCTCTCTCTCTCTCTCTCTCTCTCTCTCTCTCTCTTTTTGTCTCTGTCTCTCCCTCTCTCTCTCTCTCTCTCCCTGTCCCTCTCTCTCTCTCTCTATGAATCTGGGACTTCCATTGGTTGCTTCGCTGCGTGGCAATTGGAAACCGCACACACTCATAAACAATCGTCAAATCGGTTCACACAACAAGGGACGATGCATAAATTGCAGCACCCGCTGTTCAAAGAGTCCCCAACACGTTTTTACAGCTTGTCAACCCCTTCACGGGGGTCGAAACTTACGTTCAATCGGGTCCTCATTCAACTCTTCCAACTCCAACTCCAAGTCCATCTCTTCCTCGTCCGAAAGCTCCTCCTCACTCGCCGATGCCAGCCCAGTCTGTTGAGTCGAGAGCGAGTGGCTTGTTCTTAGGCCCAACGCAATCACAGGCGAGGGCTACCTTGATATGATTTATCTCCAAAAAGCGCTCCTTGACTTCTGTTGGAAGCCAACCTTGACCTACAAGAAACTGACTTCACTAGGTTGAAGTGTTCTCTGCAGGAGCTTCAGGGACGCCATGGATTTCACCGCCACTTCCTCGAAACCCGGGTAAGTGAAGGCTTTTCGGAAGATGTGGCAAGACGTGGCAGCTATAAATAACCCCTCAACCTTATACTGTAGGCGCTTCCAAACATCTCCCCTTTTTCTGAAACACTTATCTCGAGAAAAGGATCTTCTGTTCCCGACTTCGAGAAACAAAAAAAACACCCAGCCGAGCGGTCCTCCATCAGACCTCGCAAGCCTTGCCTTTGGAAGTGCTCCTGCAAACTCTCCGCCAGGCTGGCAGGGTGCGCCTCCAGAGAGCGTGGGTTCCTTTCCGACCCAGCCGGTCTCGTTTTCCAGGGGGACGTTTCAAACCCCAAAGGTCTGGTTGCTTCCTCAGGCGATTCCATGGAGGCTCCCAGAAGGCCACCGTAATAAAAAAAACAAAAAAAAACACCAAGCCGTCGGGAGATCTGGGAGCTTCCATGTGGAGTGTAGGGGTCCCGTTTTTGGGGATTGACCACGGGGAACCCCAACAGGTCGGCCCGTCCCATTCCGGGCAGCCGAGAAGAAACACAAGCGGCCACGCCTCCATCCACCGCACGAGCCCGCTCTGGAAGACCACCAACAGCCCGGAGCCCGAGGCATCCTCCCCTGGCGAGCCACAAACGGCTCTGGTCAAAACCGTTTTGGGATCCAATTTTGGTCGGTAGGTGAATTCACCACCCGTTTTAGGCTTCCTATTTTAGTGGTTGGATTGGGATGTTCACTGGGGGCCAACCGGGATTTTGACCCATGGCCAAACCTGTTTTTAGGGAATGCCGTCACGCCATGGGTATCATTCTCTCAGACATGGGGGAACACATGCTTTCGCTGGATTCCAAGAATCCGTTTCCAAAAGGAAACGGATTCCTTTGGCAATTCGCTGACCCTTGCGCCATGGAGCTATTCCCTGCCAGCTTTTTATTCCCATGCTGCTGGTCCCGTATGCATATCACCGAATGAATTCGCCTGCCATACGCTCTCCTCACGTGCGCAGTGTTGTTGCCAACTCAGACAAAAAGTCTTCGGCAAGGTTGTACTGTTTTGCGAAGCCTGTTATCGAACTGAACCACAGTCAGCACTAGAAACAAGAACAAGCCCCCCTCCCACACACACACATGTTTGGGCTGCTTTGCAATCCTGAAACGAGGCTCAAGCAATCAAGCAACACCCGGAAGCAACTTTGAAGAACCACTTTGCGAGATCCTAGGGCCTCTGATCAGGCTCAATCGCGCCTAACCTGAACTCAGCCTTGGGTCATTTCCGGCGCCCTGTCCTTCTATGAGCTGCGTCTTGGGCCATGCCAAGATCCTTGCCACAGGGCCAGCATCGCCTGGCGCGGGGCGCGGCGGGCAGTGATCTGAATGGAAGACCAGCTGTCATTCCGCATTTAGCCAGAAGAACAAATGGAACGAATGCGGAAAGTAGACCCTTGTTGGCCAACAACCATTCCGCCAGGATAATGGGATACTGCAAACAATCCCCAAAATGATTTGGGCTGCCAACACTGTCTCCCTGTAAACCACTTCCATCCCGAACACAAGGAAAAGAAAAACAACCCAACTCTGCAAGCCGCAGATTAGGAGTTGGCCCCAACTCAGCCGTGCACAAAACTATTCTCGCTTGGTCTGGCCTCTGCTTTAGCTCATAATGCATCCGCCCCCTGTAATAGTAAGCACTCCCTGTATGGAAGATAGGCTCCGGGTCGGCAACCCCTCCATGGCATCCCCCTGTCCAGGCCAACGCGATCCCTCAACATCTCCCTGTCGCATTCACGACAAAGCCTTGCGGGAGTCACTTGGGAGAATCAGCATCTGGAGATTGCTTGGAGCTTCCGCACAGACGCACGGCTTACGTTGGCACCATGTCTCTGCATCCCATGGGCTGTGTGCATCTTTGCATCCCGCCATTGAGGGCCTGCCTCAAAAACAAACAAGTGATGCTAATGTCAGTCGCTGCTCTTGCCCAAGCACACTACGGATCATGCTAGCAACATTGATGCCCAACAATGGCAACACAGAAATTACAATGGTCGGAAACAGTGAGATTTGATTAATGTCGTACTCAAGACGCACGTGGAGCATATGCCCTTGCCACATTCGAAACAAAATGCCAGCGGATACACAATCCATGTGGGTATGTGTCAAAATAGGGGGCGGGTGGTCCTCAACCAGCCTGAAAATTGGTTCCCTCATTGGTGGATATTGGTTTGGTGAGGATTCCTGTCCACCAACCATTTTTGTGGTGGCTCCCTACTAAAAAATATTCAAGCCATATAGACAACTTGTGTCATCTTACACTTTGCGTTCCGGTTTGGCACCTTCGGCCGCTGGCCGCTGGCGAGCAGTCCTGCGAGTCTCCCAAGAGTTCCCGAAACCGAGGTGATGGAAGGACTCTGAGAACGTAGGGGTCCAAATGGGTCTTGATGTGTCTGACCAAAGGACATCGCCGCGACTTGGCACGCGAATTCTGCACACCTGTTGCTGTTGGCCTTGTACTCACCGGCAAACACCCAAAAACAAACGGCGATTCTCCCTTTAGGGCAGTGATGGCATAGTGGTAGTCTTGTTTCCCATGTGCCCAATTCAGACTCTGAGTTGATTTTGGATTCAGATTTGAATCCTCCATGCTTGTCAAGCGACCAATAATGCCCTGTCCAAACTTATTTGTCTGGAGGGATCCTGACAAAGCACAACATAGCACAAATGCGATGTTGCTGGGCCAACTATTGCTTTAAACCACGTGTGCCAAGAGCGCTGCCCTGTTTTCATTGACATATATGTACATATAAATACTTGCTTGAATTTTGTTCAACCCGATTCAGCGCAATACCACACAAGTGGAATAACCGTGATGTTGGGATGACACATGCCTATGGACTACACAGGCTTTACGTAGTCTTCCCATTGCTGTTCTTCTGAATCAAATGGCCAAGCAATCCGCAAACATCAAACATCCGATAAACAACACCGAGGAACAACTGCTGCTAGTATGTCAGGAGTTGTGCGCCCCATAATCTGTGTAGCAAACGGGACATGCTTGCCTCACCTCATCTCAAAGAACATCATTTACATGGGGAGTTATTCTCAAGCAAATTTGAGGTTGTGTCCCATTCAGTTCATAGCCACAAACAAATCATGCTGCAATGGACATCGCCAGCGCCATGATTTCCCAAACGTCTGGTTTGCCAATTGGCAGGGTTTCAACCCCGGCGGGGCTATGCATTGGCTCAAGCATGCTTATGGCAAACCCTCACTTCCTGAAAGTGTCAACAACAAGCACATTTTCAAGAGTCATGCCCGCTTCCCTGCAAACCAAGTGCGGAAAAATGCATATCGCCTTCCAGCTCAACCCTTGGTACTCTGGGCCAGACTTGGAGCCCAAGCAAGTTCATGCAAGCCAGCTTTTTGCTGGTTACGGAACATGAAGCAACACAAAAAGGCAACATGTCAAAAAGGCCGGTTAAGAGGCGCCTGGATGGCAGGTGCACAAACTCCAGCCACTCGCCCTCGCCCGCAGCAGCAGCTCGTAGCAGCAGCTCGGATCCCAAGCAAACCTCGGCGCTCAGCCCCAGAAAAACTCGGCCACAGCGACCCAACCGGTACTCTCCTTCAATGGAAGTGGACAGGAAGCTCCTCTTCCCACAGCTTCCAAAGGAGGAAGTTGCGAAATAGACACAAGCTGTCCGTTTCTATTTCTTGTTTGTTTTGTTGTCTTGTTGCTTCTGTTCTTTTGGGGTGTGGGGTGTGGGGGTTTGGGCAGGGGATTTCCTGTAAACACGGGTGGTTAATCGGCCCATCAGAGTTCTTGGAGCCGAACCTCGAACGTGTCGGTGACCTCTTTGGGTGGCTAGCAACAGGACCTGAGCAATGGCAAGCGCATCATTTTGGCCTTGAAATTGCGACTTTGGGTCCAGAAGATTTTGAGACAGACCGGTTGCTCTGCTAGACACCCAACCCAGTTTTCTAAGGACAGAATCTGTCAGGCTCGTCCGGCTTCAGACTGTCGCAGGATGTCTATCAACAGCCAAATTTTGCAACTCTTTGAACAAGTCAGACATGAGACTTTCGTTTTCTGAGCGCTTTCTGTGTCTTAAATCTTAGTGTGGCTGCTTTGTGCCAAGGAATAAACAGCAGGCACACATCAAGGCAACATGAACCAAGACCCCATCATGTTCGCCACCAAACACATGACATGTAGGCAGCAGGCAGTTGGTGGAGCTTTTGTGTCCCACCCTTCCTTTCATTGATGTAGCCAACTGTGACTTGGAAAAAACAACAAAGACCTCCAAAGCCATCCCCCTAGGAACGGTTCTTAGGAAGGGCTTCTGATGGACGGGTTCCGAGAACCTTTCTGGGGCCTGCGGGGTGGGGATAGGAACATGAACAGGACATAGGACTTCTGCACGGACTCGTGATGTTCAAAGCACGGCTTCGGCATGGGGCGAGATTTTCATTCGGAATACCTCGGGCCACAAGCTTGTGAGAGGCAGGTGCAGTTCGCATCCGTTGTCCAAGGTGGAGATCGGACATGCAAGGCTAATTCTAATGATCAACCCTGCACATGTTGCTCCAAAATGCACATTAGCAGCATTCAGGTAAGAATAAGATCAGGTAACTTTTGTGGACTCAGGAAGTCAAAATGGGCGAGGGTGGCAAAATGGTGGTCCTTTTGGCTTCGCTGTGAACCAACCTGAAAAGGGTACCCTCAAACACCACATAGCATCGCTTTCCTGGCCCCCATGGCCCCCGGCACAGTCTCGGCAGCGCCACTCCGCCCGTTCTGGGCTCGCTTCAGGCCCAGCACCCAGCAGCGCCTCACAGAAATCGTTAAGCCGGAAGGACACGAAGCGCTGGAGGCTCCAACTGCGCAAGCATTCGTTTTCGGAAGCTGGTTCCTGCGGGGGGGTCTCTGAACAAGGATGACGCGGACGAGGTTCTTTGCGGGGTCTTTGAACAAGGACGACGAGGACGCGAGGACGAGGAGGAGGGTGATGAGGGTGATGAGGGTGATGGTGATGGTGGTGGTGGTGATGGTAATGGTAATGGTAATGGTGGTGATGCTGATGACGACGATGATGATGATGATGATGACGACGATGACGACGATGACGATGACTTTGATTGGTGTGTAACGAACTGCCGGCAGGGCACCAACCAGACAACCAGTACATTGGCGACAAGACTCAACACATATTTCAGTTGAAAGGTTGTCTTTGACAGACTCATACACATGTGTAGAAACAAATAAATTAATAAATACATATTATGTAGAAATAAATTCATAAATTTAACATAACAAGACACGTGCAAACAAATGAGCAGCATTCAGTGTTAGAAGAAAAGGGATGACGTTGCAACAAAGGGACTAAGGCTTATTGTGTAATTCTATATTGGGCCATTACCTGCAGGCGCATCGTGGCACCGCTCGACCCGTGCAATCCAGATGTTTTCGCAGCATATGTCTCATTCATCGGCTTCGTCTACGGGAGCCCTTGCTGCAGCAACAATCAACTTCCATGAAAAACGGTATGCCCAGAATGCTGCGCGGAGTTGGCAAGCTAAGCTGTCAGGGGCGACTTTGCTAGCAACGGAGTTCCTGGAAGTCAGGTCCAAACAGCCTCAACGGCATCGAGTCTGAATTGAAGCCGCATGACATTCCAATGACCTCACTCAAGACGCAAGCCTTTTGAGGACTGGGCTGTCTCCTGTTCTATGAGTCAAGAAACACAGGATACCAGTGGATGAGAAACTAGGTCTGGCAGTTCAATGGACCATTGGGAAGTGGCAACTTTACTGATCTGAAAGCTGAGAGAATGAAACCGAGCATTGGCCAAATGAGTTGGCGGTTCAACTCAGCCAAACAAGCATACACCTGCCAGTAAAATCAAAAGCGAAGAGTGTGAACCCATATGTGAACTCCTTTTCATGTTCATTGACCATTAATCAAAGTAATTGTTTCTTATACATCCAAACTTGGGCATCCAGGGGTTCATATTTGTTGCCATGTGGCTACTTTCTTGCACCAACACACCAGCTCACCCAGACCCGTCGCTTTGATGGCATCGTCCGGCATCTCCACGACCTCTTCCACTGGCGGCCATGCAGCAAAAGGCCTGCGACACAGGCTTTGACTCCGAGCGGGGGGTGTTTGTAAGCGGCCGGAGGTTTAAACAAATAGCACCAGGCCCCCATGGAATTCTTCTAGGTTTCTGGAGCCGCAGGAATGGTACGGAATATCTATACTCTCAGCTGGGCAGGAACAGTCACAAAGACATAATGAAGCGGGGTGCAGGATTCTCTTGGATTGATTGAGTTCATGGTTGGTCAACTCAATGATCCCTTTGAATCAAGAACGACCTAGCCTACACAGGAAAACAGATACAACTAAAACCATAGGTGGTTGATCTGCTAGAGATGGTAGGACAAAAGGAGAATAATCTTCATCATGCGCTCGAATAAAACCCCAGCTAGCGATGCCGGCTGTGCCCCTGCCAAGTTGGAACTAAGCAGGACTCTGAGCTTGCGTTGGAGGGTGGTTGAAGCAAGGGGGCTTGCGCACCAAAAAGGCCACCACATCCTGGTAGGTTCCCAGAATTGCTAGGTTTCCGGCAAGTATGACACGTCTTGCTTCGCCCGGACATCACCCCGCCTGCGTGCAGCTTTGGCACGGTAGGCCCAAACAGCCTGCGCAGGCAGGTTGTGCCGGATGGGTCCAACCCACAGCCCAGGATAAACTGAAAGTCAATCCTTAGCACAAGGGCTGGCTCATGAGTGCCTTTTGGCGACGCAACGGGCGCTATCTCTGCAATGAAAGAAGCCACTTGAACTACATGGTTGGTTCCTAAGAGAGTAAATCGTTGAAATCAAGACCATAGAAGAACGTGAATACGTAGCCTAGCCTCCCGGTTGTGGAGATACTGCTAACGTCTACAAGCTCTGGTGTAGCTCACCTTGCCCATAACAGATGCTTTGGGTTGGCGGCTTCAGGGTTGAGAGCTGGATTCCAACTTGCATTGAAGACTTGGGGTTCAAGTTGTCAAAGAACCTATCCAAACCACCAAGTAATTGGAGGTTGAGTAGGCCAATCTCACAGATCAAAATCCGCCGACATTGTTCGGCGTGTCGGATACTTACTAGAGGATAGAGGATAACCCCCCCCCCTTACCCCCCCCCCCGGCCCGACGTCAAATACGTAGGTGTTTTTTTGGGGGGGACCACGTACCGCGCGGCA